GCCCGATCTCAGGAATTCTGCTTCCGAGCCTGGGAAGGGAAGGAAAAGGAACCGGGAAGATGGGCTGAAGCTCCGGGGGGGCAGAGCCCTTCCCACCGCGGGAGGCTGATAAAGACCCGGCCACAGCCTGGGGACACAAATCCCACCCCCTCCGCAGGAGCCAGGAACCACCACAGCAGGATCAGTGTCACACACCCCCTGAACTGCCCCAGCTCCAATCTCTGTCACCCCCAGCAGCCCCCTTAGTTAAGCAAGGGGCTGGGGGGCTCTGCAGTCAGGTCTGGTCAGCCCGGCTCCCACCTCCCCTGCCCTTCACCCACCCCAGGACAAGGAGTCTACCCAGCACTCACGGTTTTGTAGAAGGCTTTGGACTGTGCCCCCAGCACCTCTGACTTGGATACCAGGTCATCCAGCTTCTCCCCCCGCTCCAGCAGTGACTCCATAGTGTTGTGCTGCCCAAAGTAATAGGCACTGAGCCCTCTTGCTGCCCCCTCAGCCCCCAGCAGGTGACCCAGGTGTCACCATGTCCCTACCAGCCACCCTAGGAGGGCCCCCCCCCCCGGGCACAGCCCCCTCCTCACCAGGATGATTTTGGTCTCATCCAGCTCCGCCTGCACTCGGGTCATCGGATCGGCATCGCGGGGGTTCTCGGAGAGAAACAACAGTGTGGGCATCCCCACCCATGGGGACACCACAGCCCCACAGCACACCCTGGGGTGTCAGCTGTGCTCCCACCTCCAGATCTGGGGCCCATGGGGGGTCTGGTGGGGCCATACCTGGTACTTGCTGAGGTACCCATCCAAGGCAGTGTAGCTGATGGTGGCTGGTGATCCCAAGGGCCACTCGGTCCTGCTGACCTGCCTAGAGAACTCATCCAGTACCTGCAGGGTGACAGAGCCACCTCTACTGTCACTACCCAGCTCTGCCCATGCCCACTGGGGAGGGATTTTCTCTGCAAAAAAATGATATTTTCCTCCTCCTCCTCCTCATTCCCTTTTGACTGACTGGAGAGAAGGGACAGACACCGAAGTCCCTGGCAAAGGATCAAGTCCCCAGTCATCTCCAGTGCCAAGCCTGGTGGCACCCACCCCGTGTCCCCACACTGACCCCAGGGCAGGAACAGGGCACAGCAAGGCCACCATGGCAGCTGGCAGGGAGCCGCCCCCCCCAGCACAGCCGAGCCCCTGCAGGGCCGGGGGGCCATGGACCAGCTCGGCTCAGCCCTGACGGCCCCAGGAAAGGAGCACAAAGGTCATTCCCTTGTTCCAGGAGGATCTCAGATCTGAGGATCTCCTGGGATGAGGGAATGACCTTCCTGCTCCAGAGATCCAGAGAAACCTCCTGTGCCCCCCTCCCTGAGCACTCACCTTGTCCAGCAAGGTGAAGCAAACCCGCTGTGGGTACTCAGTGTCGGCAATCACGACGCCCGCCAGCCCGTCACCCCGGACGTAGACGTGGCACAGATACTCTGTGGGACACACAGGGGTGGGACACAAGTGGCTTCAAGGGAGACCCCTGGAGCCCCCCTCCTCTCCATAGCAGCCAGCAGTGTTTCCACCCATCTCCATGTCTTGGCTCTTCCTAAGCATTTCCTCAGGAAAGTCACGAGGAAAGGTCAAACCCAGTCCAGGTGACAGCTGTACAGCCATGGGACAAGGGACATGACAGTGACATTCCTGGGCAGCAAGAGCTGAACCCAAACCCTGGAGAAGACACTTGGGGTCATTTACAAGGGTGTGTAGTGATAGGACAAGGGGCAATGGTTTTGAACTGGAAGAGGCTGGGTTTGGGTTGGACATTGGGAAGAAACTTCCCTGTGAGGGTGGTGAGAGCCTGGCCCAGGTTGCCCAGGGAAGCTGTGGCTGCCCCATCCCTGGAAGTGTTGAAGGGCAGGTTGGATGGGGCTTGGAGCAACCTGGGCTGGTGGGAGGTGTCCCTGCCCATGCAGGGGGGTTGGAACTAGATGATCTTCAAGGTCTCTTCCAACCCAAAACATTTCTTGGTTCTAGGATTCCATGATTCTATGATTCCAGGGTACTATAATTCTATTATTCCATTATTTTACTAACTAACAACTTATCACAAGCCTTGACTGTTGTTGAAGAGGCTGCAGCCACCACTGCTGAGCCCTGGCAGGAGATGGGGGGTGGGAGGCTGGGGTTGAGGTCAGAGCTTGAGGCCCAGAGTCCCAGAGCTGGAGGGTAGAGAGGAAAGATCCCTTGGGAATCGCCACAGCCCTGCAGGACAAACCACTCCCAAGGAGAGTAAGAGCTGGAAGGTGGCAGGAAGGCAGGGAGACCCCTGGGCTCTGCCTAGCTCAGCCCCCTCCCTCCCACCCCCAAACCCCTCCAAGAGCTCTTCCTAGGGCTGGTTTTCCCTCCTGGGAGGTGCAGGAAGGGGCCTGTCCTTACCCTGCTCCCGGACAGAGGCCCTGCTGCCCGGCCCAGAGCGCTCCACGATCAGCTGGCTGGTGAAGGCCATGAACTCCTGCACGCTGCAAGGGTTGGAGAACAACTCAGAGATGCAGAATGTTGGGGTTCTTTGGGCTCTGGGCAGAGATGCCAGCTAGAGCTGCAGTCCAGCTAGAGCACCACCAGAGCCAGGGAGCCCAGGGGAACTGGATGAGGGGAAACAGCACCAAGTGTCAACACAGGAAGTTCCACCTCAACATGAGGAGAAACTTCTTTCCTGTGAGGGTGACAGAGCCCTGGGACAGGCTGCCCAGAGAGGCTGTGGAGTCTCCTTCTCTGGAGACTTCCAAGACCCATCTGGACACATTCCTCTGTGACCTGCCCTGGGTGTTCCTGCTGCAGCAGGGGGGGTGGACTTGATGATCTCCAGGGGCCTCTCCAACCCCTATGACTCTATGATCAGGAGGCTTAGAGAGTCTCGTGCAAATCACCCACTTGGCAGAGACTCAAGGTCTGTATGGATAATGGGACCTCAGGAATGCAGGAGGTGAGAAAGAACCAGAGTCAAGAAGGCTGATGGCTGAACCAGTCTGGGGTAGTTGGAGAGGCAGAATTTGTGATGTTGTGTCCTTGAGGTGAACTTAGCTCATGATCGTGTCATTACAACACTAAAAGTCACACCCATGGGTCAAAAAGGCCCCTTCCCAGGTGAAGAACCTTCCCCTGAGCACATGTGAAAGTAGAAACAGTGGTGGAACCAGATCATAACTCCATGGTAATCACTGACCAAGCACTATGAGGGGGATGGACTTGGAAGGTGACCTAGAGTTTGGGGTACAAATATGTCATGGGACAATCTCCTTTGGGGGGTGCTTGATTTGTGGGAAGGCCCCAACCTCCCAGCTTGGAACAGACCTGACATGAAGAACCATGTCTCCTTAAACGGGGCCCATTTGTCTGCATTTGAGGAGCCACCTTCAAACAGGCACACAAGGACATCACACCCAGTCACTGGGGGGACACAGGTAGGCCCAGAGGTCCCCAGGTGTTTGGGCAGGGGATGAAACCTTCCCCCACAGCCCCCCTGCTAGGTCTGGCTGGTAGGGACATGTCCTGTGGCCTTCACCCAAATCCTCCACAAGGCCCAGGAAGGCTGTCAGGAGGCTGTGGGACCCCCAGTCACCACTTTGGGGCAACACCCAGGAAAACCCCAAAGCCAGTTTTGCTCTAAGCCTGGAAAACATTCCCCAAGCTTTGAAAACATTCCCAGAGCCTGGAAAACATTCCCAGACTTCAGCTCTGTCAAACTAGCTCCTGGTGTGAACCCTCCTCCTCTTTCCCCCCCCAGCCAAAGCAAAGAGGCCAAAATTCCTGAGCAGGCACAAAACAAACTGGGCCCCACTGCCACTCTGGGCACACTCAGATTGAGGTGACAAAATTCCCCCCTTCCAGTGGGAAAATCTTGAGAAGAGAACCTGCCCCAGCTCAGGTTCTGGAGTTTGTTCCCACGTCAGCAGCTCCCGCTCGGGAGCTTCAGGTGATCAAACCTCCTCAGGCACTGATGGGATCAAGGTGGCAGCTCCTGAGCAGGGATTTGACTTTTCCAGTTCACTGATTCCTCAGGGATTTTGCCTTTTCCCCAGCCCAGACACTCCAAGGCCAAACCAGCTGCGAACTCTCAGGTTTCCAGAAGAAAAAAACAGCCCAAAGGCTCCCTGACATCCAACTCCAGCAAGAACTAGTGTTATCCCCCCCCACACACCTTCCAGGGCTCTGCTGCAATTCCAACATTTCCCAGTATTCCTGGAGGAATGTGTTCCCTCCCACCACATTCCTGACCCCTAGGGTACCCAGAGGCAGGTTCTCCTGGAAGACACAACCTCCTCAACCCCAGATCCAACCCTCACACTCCAGGAGCTCCACAGTCTGAAAACCCCCACACGCAGCATCTGGAACCCAAACTTTCATCATTTGCAACCAAAATCCCCCCTCCCAGCACCACTGCCACCGCCCCTAGGCACTGGGGCACAGGCAGTCCCTCAACATCCATGGGACTGATGACCACTGATTCCATCCCCCATTGGTGCCACTGTCCCCAAAACATGACATTCAGCAAGGGCCCAACCAGCTGCCAGGGAAGCAGCTCCTCCCGCCGCAGCCGAAGGCACCACTGGGAATTCACACCACCGGAAACTGGCACCACTGGGAATTCTCTGGAGCTTTGGCAAAGCCCAGATCCTGTGGTGACTAAGCCCTTTGGGTTTTGAAGAGATTGCTTCACACCCCCCAGCCCATCCTGGCACAGCTCCCATGTCCCTCTACCAAGATTTGGCCAAAGAACCACATTTTCCTCCAACTGGATTGGAATTGCAGAACATGCTGGAGGCTCCATAAAACCTAAGCAATCACAGAATTGTTGGAAGGGACCTCTGGAGATCATGAAGTCCAACCCCCCACTAAAGCAGGATCCCCTGGAGAACATTCCACAGGTGTGTCTGGGGTATCTCCAGAGAAGGACACTCCACACCTCCCTGGGCAGCCTGTCCCAGGGCTCTGTCACCCCCACTGCAGGGAAGTTTCTCCTCACCTTTCCATGGAACGTCCCATGTCCCACACAGAATCATCCTGGTTGGGAAGGACCTTGAAGATCATCAAGATCATCACCTAAATCCACCAACCAGAACCTAATCTACTCCTTCAGTGCTTAAATCACATCCCCAAGCACGTTGCCCCTCGTCCTGTCCCTGGGCACTGCTGAGCAGAGTTTGGCTCCATCCTCCTGCACCCACCCTGAGATACTTCCAGGCATTGATCAGGTCTCCCCTCAGCCTTCTCTTCTCCAGGCTGAACAGTCCCAGCTCCCTCAGCCTTTCCTCATCAAGGGAGATGCTCCAATCCCCCAACCATTTTGATCCCCTCCCCTGGACTCTCTCCAGTAGTTCCCTGTCCCTCTTGAACTGGGGAGCCCAGAACTGGTCCCAGTTCTCCAGATGGGGCCTCACCAGGCCCCTCACACTCTTCCTCATGCACTCCAGGATTCCATTGGTCTTCTTGGCCACAAGGACACATTCCTGGCTCATTTACTGTTTACCAGGACTCTGAGATCCTTGTCCCCAGATCTGCTCTCCAGAAGGTGAACCACTCACTTCTATTGGTGCCTGGTTCCTTCCTCCCCAGGTGCAGGACCCTCCACTTGCCCTTCTTGAACCTCATGAGGTTCCTCTGCCCAGCTCTCCAGCCTGCCTAGGTCTCTGGATGGCAGCACAGCACTCTGCAGTGTCACCACCCTGCCCAGTTTGGTGCCACCAGCTGAGGTCACACTGTCGCCTTGCCCAGGTTGTTGATGAAGATGTTGAACAAGACCAGAACAAGTATTGACCCCTGAGGACACCACAGGCCCGAACTCGAGTCCCCTCAGTGCATAATTCCTAAAGCTTTTAGCACCTGGAAAGGGACACGAGCTGCTCCACAAGAGGCTCCTGTTTGCCTCCTTTTCCAGCTGTTTGGGAGCAACTGTCGAGTTCCATCACCTTCGAGTGGGACACCTGGATCCAGCCTAAATTCCCTCCCCCAAAATGTTGGAATAACCCAAGTGGAGCTCTGCGGGTTGGGAAAAAGGTTAAAATCAGCCCAAATGCCTCAAAAAAATGGGATTCAAGGGACCAAACCTGCTGCAGCACCTGGACACTCTATGGCACCAGATGGGATTCACCCAATAGTCCTGAGAGAGCTGGCAGAGGAGCTTGCCAAACTCCATCATCTGGAGAACAGGGGAGGTCCCTGATGACTGGAGGCTGGTTAATGTGATACCATCTACAGAAGGGCCCAAAGAAGAATCCTGGGAACTCCAGGCCTGTCAGCCTGACCTCAGTACCAGGGAAAATCATGGAGAGGCTCATCCTGAGTGCACTCACGTGGCAAGTGCAGGACAGCCACGGGATCAGGCCCAGCCAGCAGGGGTTCAGGACAAGCAGGTCCTGCTTGACCAACCTGATCTCCTTCTATGATCAGATGACCCCCCTGGTGGATGAGGGAAGAGCTGTGGATGAAGAGTTTTGGTAAAGCCTTCGGCACTGTCTCTCACAGCATCTCCTGCAGAAGCTGGTGGCTCATGGCATAGACAAGTGCACTCTCTGCTGGGTACAAAACTGGCTGGCTGGCCCAGAGAGTCATGGTGAATGGGGCTGGATCCAGCTGGTGGCCAGTCACCAGTGGTGTCTCCCAGGGCTCAGTGTTGGGGCCAGTCTTGCTCAATATCAATGACCTAGAAGAGGGAATTAGGTGCTTCCTAAGGAAGTGTGCAGATGACACTAAGCTGGGAGGAAGTGTTGTTTTGCTTGAGGGTGGGAAGGCTCTGCAGAGGGACCTGGACAGGCTGGATCGATGGGATGAGGTTTAACAGGACCAAGTGCCAGGTCCTGCACTTTGGTC